TAATACCTAATTGTAATATGTTCCATATTAACTAATAAAGATTTACAGCGTATAAGCAATTTACAAATAAAAAAAAATAAAAAAAATAAAAATAAAAAAAAAATAAAAAATAAAAAAAATAAAAAATAAAAAATTTAAATAAATAATAAAATTATTATTTCCAATTGATGAACTATCATAAATGAGAGGAGTAAATCATACTTCGAGCCTTCAATTTTATAATCTATTTTTACTAGAATTGGCCTTTAAAAACCTGATATGATAGTATAGTAATATCTATGACATGTGATCACATATAAGATCTAATGTTTACGAGTCGAATTTGATATAAACAATAATGATAAGCTTGAAAGTCCGAAGTTTAAATGATTTCTACGTATGCATTTTGATTTAACCTAAGCAAAAAATCCCAATATGGTATGATCATGCGATATAAGTCGCGTCAACCAAAATTCAGAAAATCGGCCAAGTTTAGATTGAAATGCATCGAAGTTAGGCCGGCATTAATCAATAACTAACTATATTATAGCAAAAAATTAGCGTCTGGACAATTTTATTTAGCGCGTGGATTACTGGATTGTTAGCAAAATTTATCAATTCGCTGAATTTTGATTGCGCGACCAATCTATTCCGATTTACGATGTATCGAGCTACCCTAAGCACGACATTTGGACGTGCAAACTACTATACTAGTTTTGGTTGCGTGTAGGGTATTTTCAATATTTTGCTTCTATAGTTTAATATTGTTCGGAATTTTTCGGAAATTTCTAAAAATTAGCTTGTTTAAATCAGAAATCTTCGTGTCCTCAAATAAAACGATTTAATTGGCCAAATTGTTTTTAATTATGTATTATACCTATACCCTCTGTGTGTATTATACAGGTATTATACGGGTATTATATCAATTGTATAATACGGTATAAAAAATCCTAGTTTCGTGATCTTGTATCACGTGATGTTTTAATTTTTTTTATTGGCGAACTACCAGTACATATGTTAAATTCGTAAAAATACCAATCAAATCCGTATTTCAATCAAAATATAATACAGTAATTTGATTGAAATACGAATTTAATTGGTATTTTTTACGAATTTGATTGATTATACGAATTTGATTGATTATACGAATTTGGTCGACAAAACCATTGACATCGATCCATTACTTCCATTTCCGTAGAATGTCATAACTCTAATGTTTTGAACAATGACGATAGTTTAACTATGTTTAATGTTATGTCCCTTGTTATACGTATAATAACGATAATTCCAAATTTTTTCTCTTCTGAATATGTACGTATCAGTTTGAGATAATTGATTTGCAGAAATCAATGTTAAAATCATTATTACAATATAATTAATAAAATCATTATCATTAAAGCCTCATCATGACTCATATCTCAATGACTATTCTTATCTCGGCTGATAGGTGCATATATAATTACATTAAGCAGTTAATTCGAACTGCGTATAATACCACGCAGTAACTACGCAGTAACCGCCGCGCAGTAAAAAAAATTATATATAATCATGTGATTGCATCAAAATTTTATATCTCGTGTTTCTCAACACGAAAATTTATTTATCAATTGCTTAAAAAAATGTCAGAGTTTTCGAGAACAAAAAAACCAAAACTTGAAGAATTATACACTGTAACTGAACAAGATAAACAAGAAGCTCATGAACTCATTCAAAAATTATATGAAAAATGTAAAGAAAAAGGAAAATCACGAAAAAAAAGTCAAATTAAAAGATCTGATTACACACATCAATCTTCAGGACTAACTATTTCCTCATGGAAAATGAATGATTGGGATTATAAAAAAAGAGATGTTCTTACTCCTGCTAGGGGTTTGTTTACAAGACAGACAAACGATAATCGATATGAAATTGTTATCCGCGGTTACGATAAATTTTTCAACATTGGCGAAGTAGAAAAAACAAAAGTAAATATCTATTATCATAATTACTTTGATAAATTTCTTTATTAATCGTTATGCATCCTTATTTATATATAAATTTATATCTAGTGGGAGTCTATTCTCACAGACACATTAAGTCCTTATGAAATTACCGCGAAAGAAAACGGTTGTATCATTTTTATTACCGGACTTCCCAGTGGCGATATAGTAGTTACCAGTAAACATTCAATGGGTGAACTTCAAAACAATGTTGCACATGCTTTGAAAGGTGAAGAGTGGCTTGACAAACATTTGAATCAAGTTGGAAAAAGCAAGCGAGATCTAGCAAGATTTTTATACACGAATAGTTTAACTGCAGTAGCTGAGGTACGCTATTTTATATAAAAACATTTACTTAATTAATTTCATTTAATTATTTAATTTATGATTTATTTTTCCAACAACTTTCATTCAACTTTCATTAATATCATTTTTAATAGCTCTGTGATGATTCTTTTGAAGAACATGTATTGCCGTATACTTTTGAACGCAGTGGTCTATATCTGCATGGATTAAATTATAATACCGTTGATTTTAAAACTTGTCATAGTGAACTTGTCAATGAATTTGCAAATGATTGGGGTTTCATTCCAATAATATATTATATCAAAAATAGCGCTGATGAGGTTAAAGAATTTACTGACAAGGTTAAACAAGATGGTTCGTTGAATGGAAGGCCAATTGAAGGATTTGTGGTACGAACAAGACTAAAGTCTACTGGTCAAGATTTCTTCTTCAAAGTTAAATATGAAGAACCTTATCTCATGTATCGTGAGTGGAGAGAGGTTACCAAAGCTCTTCTAAATAAGAGGGAACCGAAATTTACTTATTCTACCAGTAAACACTATATTAGTTGGGTGAAAGAGAAAATTCGAAAAGAACCTGACCTTTTCAAAGGGTATCAACATAATCATGGGATTATTCATGTGAGAGATCTATTCTTAGATCATTTGAATAAAGAGGGTATGTCTCAAAATATACCAGAAACAGAAAGGTTTAGAAAAACTCTACTAGTCCCTGTTGCAACGATCGGATGTGGTAGGTCACTAAAATGTTGACGTCATGTGATAGTATCGGTATTTATGTTACACGACTTAACTCGGTTCCTTTATTTAGGCAAGACAACAATTGCACTTACACTTGCGTCATTGTTTAACTTTGGTCATATACAAAATGATAACATAACTGGCAAGAACGTTCGCTTAGAATTTCACAATAATATTATAAGGGAATTTGAAAATAAAGATGTTGTGATTGCAGATCGGTAATATATCAATCATTCAATTAGTTTTTTTGATATTTTTATTCTCAGAATCGTGTAATTGTATAAAACTAATAAATTATGCTTTAAATTCGGTTAGAAACAATCACATTCAGGAACTTCGTAAAACTCTGATAGAAGCCATTGCGAGACAATATCCAAATATTCGTATAGTCGCGCTCTATTGGAATCATGGCATTAATCCTGATGAAATCTTTCAAATAACTTCACAACGTATTTTACTACGTGGGGATAATCACCAATCGCTTACTCCTGAGAACCCTAAATATGAAAGTATAATTAGAAGTTTCTTGCATGGATTTGAACCTCTGGATTCTAACAATGGTATTGATCATAATTTTGATCATGTCATTGACTTAGATATTAATAAGGACGTTAAGACCAATCTTTTACATATTCTTGAAGAGTTACGCTTGATACTTGGTATAGAAAAACCGGACGCTTCAAGTATTGACGCAGCTATTGAAAGTGCAATGAGTTATAAACCCTCCATTCGTAAGAATGTTAACCGTAAAAGTTCTAATCAAAAGAAGTTATCATCAACAGTTAGAGTTAGACAGCCTAGTTATTATGGGGTCGCATTTGATTTTGATTTTAATAATTTCCTGAAACAATATTTCGAAGAACATCCGAATTTGGATTCTAGAACTTATATAAAATTAGCTCAAAAAAAACGTATTCCTCTTGAACATCATGTTACTCTTGTTCATGCTGCGGACATTCCCTCCAAAGAGGGCAAAGTAATTTGGAAAGAATACAAAGAGATGTTTGAAGAAGAACCTCAGCCTCAGCAGGTTCAGGTGTTTTTTGATAAAATGGTCTTCGATTCACGTATTATAGCACTTGTTGTCAAGAAAATTGAGCCTTTGTCTTTT